CTTCCTTCCTCCCTCCCTCCCACCCTCCTTTTCCATGCATACATTATGGCTAATGGGATCTGAGGCTCCAAAGGAGAAAAGTTCCCCTTTCCTGAATTCCTATGTATTTTCAGCTGCCTGCTTATAGCCTAACAATCTTGTTGCTGCAGCCCAGGACACATAGCCACAGGGCCCAGCCCCATCTTCCTGCGCTATACCTCCTAGAGAAGCAGATTTCGTTATCTCAGAGAATAACACAGGGCTTCTCAAAGTGATGTCATAAGTCACCTGTATTAGAATCATCTGAACACTTCCTAAAATGCACACTACTGGGCCACCTCAGCACGAGGCCAGACTGTCTAGGAGAAGAACTTGGAATGTGACTTCTGAACCTGAGCTGTAGGTAACTCTAAAAATAGCAGTTTAGGAATCTGTCATCATATAAAAAATCCCACATGAGTTCCAGGCCTGGCTCGGGATTTTGATCCAGGGACGACTACTTATTTCTGGAATTTCTTTCAACCAGAAAATGGAAATTTTTGTAACCACATGTGTGGTGTGGACAAGTGAGTGGTCCTGGGAAGAAAACCCACCCATTCCTCTTCGTGTCTGGACCTGGTCTCCCATGTCTACCACAGAAGACAAAACTGTCAGCTTGATTCTCCCCTGCATCCCGGTTCCATCCTCTCTTGAATTCTCCTAATCACTAAAGCATCCCACCTGCCTCACTCCCTCCTCATGCCCCTCCTGGTCTCAGATCATTGCTTCCCTTTCTACCCTGTGATCTGCAGAGAAGCAGAACAAAGTAGGTTTATCAAAGGAAGGAAAGGAAGGGGGGTGAGTGGGAATGGAAAGGCCACTTCTGAAAGCAACCCCCCACCACTGGCTGTGACATGACTTTGTCTCAGGCCCAACAAATACTGTGTGACTCCCAGGGGGCAACTTAAGCTCCAAAGGAAGTGGCTTCCCGACTGCTTTTCTCCCTGGCTCTCCTCCTCCCCTTTTGCAGAAGGACCTTCTACTGTGTCAGCTTTCTGTGGTCACCCTCCTATGAGCCAGCCACTTGCTTAGGCCTATAAATCCCCATCCCTTTGTGCCCCATCCCCAGGCTGTCTGGGCCTGCAAATGTTGTGAGCTGCAGCACAAACTCCCGTGGGTGCTCAGGAATGTACACTGATGTGATTAGTCCACAGCTGAAGACAGCACGACCCCAGCCTTGGTTAATTCCATTAAATTAGGGAGCACTGGTTCCTCTCTCTGCAGAGCTGATGACCTTGAGGGAGATGTAGGTGGCTCTGATGATTTCACAAGGCTGCTAGTCACTCACATTCCCAGCAGTGCTGAACTAATTAGTGTTTCACCCAGAGCTGTGAAGAAGCAGCTGCCCAAATGCAGCACCATTGTGGGGCTACACTGTTCAGTGAGCTAGACCTGGAAAACAGCCTAAACAATGGCTTGAAATGTGGCAAACTCCCATGGAATTCCTCCCAGCGTAGGGTCTAGAAGGTATGTTTCTGGAGATCTACTGCCTTTGTACTGCAGTATGTCTCTGTTTCTACCCAACCATCCTCCCCTTCTCCTAGACAGACAGATCTCAGTCCTTCCTACAGTGCCTGTTGATCTTCCTCCTGAACACAGCCATCTTTCAACTAGAGGGTAGCAGCGTAAAGTGATATAGACAGAGCAAATGTATGAACTTATGATAAAATATTGAAATGAACAAAGACAATAGTATGTGATCATGCCTTGATCCATTTTGAAAGGATAAAGAAAAAAACCATTTGTAAGTAATTCTATGAATATCACCAATAAGTAGAAAACCAGAGATAGGCTGCATGATGGATAAAATGGGCTAAACGACCTCCAAGATCCTTTCCAGCATTAAATTGCTGGCTTCACATTTGAGTGTCCCTGCTGGTATCCCACAAAGAAATCCCTCCATTACTTCATATCACTTACTCTTAAGTTTCCTGCTTTAGGCTTTCTTTAAGATTCAGAGCATGTGTCCCCTTCCCAGGTGGCAGGTCCTTGCCACCATGACCTGCTTGGAAGCCAGCTCCTAACCCCATGAGTGTCACTGCTTAGTGAGATGAAAGCTTAGGATAGCCTGGGATAGCTTCTGTCAGTCTTGGGATGGCACTGTGAGCTCAGCTCTGGGCACAGGAGTCTGTCACAGGATTCACACACAGCTTTTGCTGCTGTCCACAGGCTGTGTTTGACTGTGTGGTGACCTCCTTGAAGAATGTCTTCAACATCCTCATTGTCTACAAGCTCTTCATGTTCATCTTTGCGGTCATTGCTGTCCAGCTCTTCAAGGGAAAGTTCTTTTATTGCACTGATAGCTCCAAGGACACAGAGAAGGAATGCATGTAAGTGCCACCAGCATGTACCGCTCCCTGTTTGATGAGTGTGTCCTGACAAATCCCCCTCCACCTATCACAGGTTGACTGGGTCTCCTTTCTCTCTTATCTCATTCCTCTTTCCATACAATGGTAAAATAGGAAGTACATAGACGTATATTGAATTCTTCTTTTGTGTCAGATGTGGTAAGAAACACTCGCATGAACCATTTCATTTTAAGTCTTTATTCTGACCTACTGAAATGGGTTTATTGCATCTTAGAAGTATAGCAGCTGGTACTCAAAAATTAAGTTGTCCATAGCCGGGCGTGGTGGCGCACACCTGTAGTCCCAGCACTTGGGAGGCAGAGGCAGGCGGATCTCTGTGAGTTCAAGGCCAGCCTGGTCTACATAGTGAGTTCCAGGCCAGCTGGGGCTGCAGGAAGACCCTGTCTCAAAAAGACCGAAAAAAAAAAATTAAGTTGTCCAAAGTTACATAGAAAGAAAGTAGTGATCTCAGGATTAAATCCCACATCTATTGGGCACCGTGTATCGCTTTTATCTCATACTAATATTGATATTTAATAAAATATCCCCTTCCTTGCATTTGTATGATGTTTTTACCCTAAGTTTATAAAATGTTCCAACTCTTCCATGAGGCCCTATTTCACATCTGTTCTGGTTTCAGAGGCAACTATGTAGACCACGAGAAAAACAAGATGGAAGTGAAGGGCCGGGAATGGAAGCGGCATGAATTCCACTACGACAACATCATATGGGCCCTGCTGACCCTCTTCACCGTCTCCACGGGGGAAGGATGGCCTCAGTGAGTGATGGGGTGGACTTGTACACGTGTCTGTGGGCTGGGCTGGGACCGTGTGGGTGCTTTGAAAAGCTGATTCAAGATGAACAAAGCTAACCTTTATTATTGTACCAGGCGAAGTAAGTGGTTGTGAGTGGGTGAGAAAGGCAGGAGAGAGGAAGAATGAAAACCCTTCAGGCAAAGATGGAGGGGGAAGCAAAGTCAGGGAAATAATTGAAACTCGTAATGTTTTAGCCAAACTTTGAACTGAGTGGAGGCCTGTGAATCTTACAGAACAAATAGGTTTTCACAAGTTTCTACCCATCAGGAGTTTCAGACAGATTTATCCTACAGGTTGGCCCTGCACCTGAGAGCCTAAGGCTGTGAGGAGCTGCAAGAACCCAGAAAGGCTGCCTGAGATCAGACCTCTTAAGAATTCAGGCTCTTACACTGCCCATAGCAGGAGGCTAATTTTTCAAAGACTTGACAATGACTGAGACTACTAATTACTAGTTAGTAGTAGAAAATTCAATGGCAAATCTAGGAGACTTTTGGTATCAACCATGACAATCTGACCATAAGATGATGTCACTCTGTTTCTTAGGAGTTGAATCCATATGGAAAGTGGGCTAGAAAGAGCAAGTGTCCCAGTGGTTATTCACCAACTTGGCTATAGACCCTCAAAATCAATGGAGCATGTGCCAAGTCAGAAGTCAGATAAGAACTACAGTAAGTGGCACATCTAACATAGCCAAGACCGTCATCCACAGCCCATACCCTCTCATTCCATCCTCACAGGGTTCTACAGCATTCTGTAGATGTGACAGAGGAGGACCGAGGCCCCAGCCGCAGCAACCGCATGGAGATGTCCATCTTTTACGTGGTCTACTTTGTCGTCTTCCCTTTCTTCTTTGTCAATATCTTCGTGGCTCTCATCATAATCACCTTCCAGGAGCAAGGAGACAAGATGATGGAGGAGTGTAGCCTGGAAAAGAATGAGGTAATAACAGGTGGTCTGTAGTAAGGGCTAGAGGGAGCTCAAGAAGAAAGAACATATTTTCCTAACTTTATTATGGCATCATAATGAGAAGACAAAGTTCGTTGTAAGTTGTTAAAGGGGGAGGCACAGAAGTATTTGGCCTGCTTACAATACAGTCTTAGGGCTGGGGTGCTGGCTCAGTGGGTAACTGAGTTTGCTGCATAAGTATGAGGTCCTGAGTTTGAATTCCCAGCACCTATGTAAAAAGCTGGACATAGGGCTGGTGAGATAACTCTATGGGTAAAGGTACTTGCTGCCAAGGCTGATGACCTGAGATCCATCCCAGGTCAGAGGACCCACATAATGGTCCTCTGACCTGAGATCCATCCCAGGTCAGAGGACCCACATAATGGTCCTCTGATCTCCACATGTGCACCATTGTTCCTGTGTGCACATATGCATGTGCATCTATGTACATGAGCACACACAGACACATACACTAAAAGGATAAAAATAAACAAATAAATAAATGTAAAAAAGAAAAGTCTGAACATGGCTGCCTGCGCCTGTAACCCAAGCATGGAGGAGCAGGGGGCAGAGACAGATCCTGGGAATTCACTGGCTAGTCAATCTAGCTTTAATGGTGAACTTTTGGTTCAATGAGAGATCCTGTCTCAAGGCAATAAGGCAGAGCAAGAGACAGATACTCTATGTCCTTCTCTGGCCTCCACGTATGTGCATCCACATACTGCCATATACCACACACACACACACATAGAAAAATGCAATCTCCACCTTTATATGTGATAGGCTAGAAGTAAAAGACATGTGCCACAGTTAGAACATTTTGATGTTTGCTTTTGATGATGTTGCATTTTGATGACTGACCCTCACAGCGTCTATTTTTCTAATGGCAGAGATTATGGATTTTTTATGTTTTTCCAGCAACATACATAGTTTGGGTACATTTTAAGGCTTCGTAGTTGGCTTTGATCGACAATGAAACAACTAGAAACAGTTATAAACTATGAGGAATTGCAGAGGCAGATGCAAAGTTGAACACTTTGGATCTGAAAATCCAAAGTTCCAAAATCCAAAACTTTTTGAATGGGAACATGATACTGCAAGTGGAAAGTTTCATACTACGAAACCTCATTTCACATTCAAAATTATTATATTACATAAAATTACCCTCAGTGTGTACATGAGGTACACAGGAAATACTAATTAATTTTGCACTTCGGGTGAGCATCCCATCTTCTAACTATCTCATTATTTTTTTGCAAATATTCCCAAATCAGAAAAGAAATCTGACATCCTAAATTACTCTGGCCCCACGTTTGAGACAAGGGATTCTTAAACTGTAGATCTATAGTTTTAACTATGGGCATCAGGAAAAGCATCCTGTCTGAAAAGCTCATGTATACGTGGTATAAGAGGACTTTCTTAATAATCAAAGCCCTCACACCATGTGACAGGATGCCTCCAGGTGTTTGTGCCCATAAGGTGACATCTTGCCTATAGCTTTGTCCAGATGATCCCTGTTACCATTTTTAGTTTGGTGTAGCTCTCCCTTTTAACCCTATACCGTCCTTCTTTGTTAAATATCACAACAAAGAACCCACTACCATGCAAGGTTCTGGTGATTTGAGCTTATTCTAGTGACTTTGACTCTCTGCAGCGAGCATGCATTGACTTCGCTATTAGTGCCAAACCTCTCACCCGCTACATGCCACAGAACAGGCACACCTTCCAGTATCGTGTGTGGCACTTTGTGGTTTCTCCGTCCTTTGAGTATACCATCATGGCCATGATCGCCTTGAATACTGTCGTGCTGATGATGAAGGTAAGAGGAGGGTAAATCCCAGCGACTGTTATCTCCTGAGCAGTTATGTGTGCACAGTGATTGGGGAGTCACTCTACCTTACTAGCCTGCTCCTCTATCACAGAGTCCCTTAGATCTTATTTTCTTCAACAGTCCAGTCCTTGGATTTCTGGAGTCAATTGAGTGAGATGCAGAGAAACAGAAGCAGTTAGGGGCTTCCAAGACCAAAAGTAGTGATGGCGTCCACCTTTGACAAGAGTGGATAATATCCTTCAGACATCACGGAATCTAAAGGAATATTGAACTTAATGTGAGCTTGATCATATTTAATGCTAAATGATAAAACACCTAACTCTGGAAAATGATTGTGCCATGCCCACCTTCATGTTGGGACATGCAGGTTATTTGCACTGTTTTGCTATTAAGCAGTCTTCGGAGGGACATAGGATTGTGTTTTACTATATGCACCAAAATATTCCACAAAGGCAGGCTAAGAGATGGCCAGGCTGGGGGTTGTACGTGCCTTCACCACATACACACATGCCTTAAGGTTTGCCTCTTTCTCTTTTCTTCTTTCCCGGCAGTACTACTCTGCTCCCTGTACCTATGAACTGGCCCTAAAGTACCTGAACATTGCCTTCACCATGGTGTTTTCCCTGGAATGTGTCCTAAAGATCATCGCTTTTGGTTTCTTGGTATGTCACTGAGTCTGCCAAAGCGTCAGGCTGGTCTTCCTTTGGCTACATTCCAAAGGCAGCAGTCTTAGACCTTGTTGGAAGAGGGGTAGTAGTTACTGTTATTCCAGAATGGTTCACACACCTGCGTACCTGTGAGCTCAGTTTGGCTATTCAGTAAGCAGGTTGCTGTGCGAGTGGAACAGGAGAAAAGGCAAAGGAAGCAGCCTTCTCAGCTCCCATCTAACCATCTGCCCTGGTCCTGTTGAATTCTTTCAGCAGTCAAAGGGTGGCTATCATTGGGGTTTACTAGAACTACAACTTATGTGTAATGGAAGAAAACAAAAATAAACCTTGAGTGCTTATTTGTTGGTAAAAGGTATAAGAATCTTATGACTAAAATGGGAAAATATCTGAATTTTATAGTATCAAATACATCAGCTTTTACCTATTAGTCTTCCTTCCCATTAATAGCATGAAGAGTAATTTATTCCAATCAAAATAAATGTTTATTACTTATGTTTTCAAAGGCCAGTGACCTTTACGGGGTGGCGACTCAGGGAGGGGATTCTGGAATTAGATTTGGGAGGGATAGAAATTATTTTTCTAGCATGAGCTCTCTTTTTATTTCTTGTCAACTAGTAACTATAATTATTTGGCAAAATTTTGCATCTGTTCCCAAGAATGTTAAGAAACCCTGGCCCTTTGCTTCAGTGTCCTATAAACAAAACTGTCATCCCCCCTCCCTTCTCCTGCTTTGCTTCAGTGTGTTCTGAGAGTTCAGTGGGATGCAGATAAGCCCACTTGGCAGCTGCTTCACACTTATGTAGGGTGTGAGCTACCATTTCAAATTGTAAGTGTATATGACTTTCCCAGCAAGAAGGATAACCTGTGCTGCTGATCTGAATAAATACTTTTGATATTAGCTGTAACAGGGACTCTGTGCTTGGTTTGATAATTGTCAGTGTTGTTTGTGAAGGTTTCTGGTCTTAGTTCTTTATAAAACCATTAATTTGATCATTTGGAGAGTTGAAAGGAACCTGTTGCAGTGGCTGCATTGTGGGATTCTTCACTTTCGTTTTGAGTACTTTCAGACTTGGGGAAATAAAAGGATAAAAAGAAGCTTCTACGGGGCTGGAGAGATGGCTCAGTGGTTAAGAACACTGGTTGTTCTTGCAGAAGACCCGGTTTCGAATCCCAGCACCCATATGGCAGCTAACAACTGTCCATAACTCCAGTCCCAGGGGCTCCGACAGCCTCAGCCTCTTCTGACCTCTGCAGGCATTGCACGACATGGGTGCACTTACCTTATGCAGGCAATACATGCATACGCATAAAATAAAAATAATAAAAAATTATTTTTCTTAAAAACGGAAGCTTCTACCAGTAATGATGCCTTAATAAAACAGTCTAGCTCCAAGTAGGGTAAACTAAAAGAGAGGGAAAATTCAGTGCCACAACAGGGAAAGTTTCTCTGTATGTCCTGATGGCTTGCATGTGGTATTGACATTATCTGTGGTTTAAGCCCCAATTATGTGTCTAATTATGGTGAATGCTGAAAACATACTTATAGGCTTAAGTAGAGGATTTGGCCCTGAGCCCTGCCTCCTCCCCACCATCACTCCTGTCTCATTCAAGGCCTAGAGTCATCCATACTAGAAAAGGCACCACTGCATTGATTCAGCTTTTGACATTTTCAGAATATCCCAATATGCACTGCTTTGTCAGATCTCAAAAACTCTGAAACAGGCATACCAAATTCCATCATCATTATGGCAATTATTACTGTCATTTTAGATGAGAAAAACAAATTCATAAAATGTATAGTTCTTTAAAGGTTGTGAAGTTCATAAAATGTATAATTCTTTAAAGGTTATGCAATAAAATGTAGCATTGGAAAGAAAGAATAAAATGGGGAGAAAAGGGAAAAGCAAGCAATGTGTAAGTGGCCAGAGCTTTGCACATTCATTGTCTACTCACAACAATTGTATTAGGTAGGTTTTACTATTTTCTTTTTTTACGCATGAACAATGGCTCAGGAAAGATGAATACTTTTCCCAGGGTTAGTGAGAGGATCAGACAGAGCCTGGATTCAGAGCCTGGTCTCTGACCACAGAGTTCACAATAATCTACCAGTCTATAGTCTTCCTTTATCTGCCAGGATACATCCCCAAATCCCCAGCTGATGCCTTAAACTGTAGGTAATGTGAACACTGTTTATATATACTCATACATTGCTAAATGATGGTGTGAATCCTGAGAGACACATTTGTCTGTCTTTCTTTTCCTATTGCTGTGACAAAGGTAATTAAGGGAGAAAAAAAGTTATCCTGGCTCATAGTTCAAGGGTACAGCCCACCATGGCAAGGAAGTCAAGGTGACAGGAGCTTGAAGCAGTTGGTCACATCCACAATCAGGAAATAGAGAACAATACATGACACCATTCAGGTCCCTTTCTCCATTTATATAATCCCTGATCCCAGCCAGGGGATGGTGCCACCCACAGTGGGTGGGTCTTCCAACCTCAATTAAGATAGTACCTCCCAGGCTAGCTGTATCACCAGACAGTATAATATTATGAGTCCACCTTTCTATATGTGACCTGTCATTAATAGAAGCATCATTATGAGGCACTTGACTCAAGTGTGTTTTCTCCCAAGTGTGAGAATTTTCCAATTTTCACTTAAGGAAGCACTTTATGACATCTCTTTGGCATATCTCATTTTCCAGCATCACTGTTCATGTGCTTTGGGGCCACTTAAGTAGAAAAAGTAGTGTTATCAAACATGAACACTATGATGTTACAGCAAAAGATCTTACAATTAAGACAGCAAGTATATGACTAAGGGATGGATCATGTATTCAGCATGGATATACTGGACAAAGGAGGAAGGACTCAAGTCTTGGGTGGGATAAAGTAGAACGGAATGAGATGTCATCATGCTACTCAGAATAATGTGCAATTTAAAACTTAGAAATTGTTTCTTTCATTTATCATTTAATATTTGGGACTGTAAGTAAATGAAATCATGGAAAAATGAAACCACAGATAAAGTGGGAGGGTACTGTACTACACCATAACATTTTGAACTGGGACATGCTATTCTGTCCTGTAAGCCATGCTCAACTGGACCCTAAGGCCTCTAGTCCTCTGAAATCTAGATCTATAAACTAAGAATTAGGAAGGTGATACCAGACTGGGGAATAGGAGAGCCTTGAGAATAGAGGAATTGAGCACTCTATTTGGCTCCCTTCATTGATGCCCATAAATGAGCTAAGTGCACCACTAGAAAGTGAATGTCCTTAACAAAGGTGAGAGCATCTAGTTTTCACATACCCTAGGGCTTTGGAATCAGATCTCTGTAAGCCTGTTTTTTCATGTAGAACATAAGGATACAATAGCTCTCTACAGGTATGTGGGTGCTCATTAAACAGAATCTCTCTCCACACAAGCCTTTCACAGAACCTCTTTCCACACAATCCTTCCTGTGTTGCATATCTTTCTTTACTCTTCTGACTCTTTCTGTACCCTATAAACATGGTATGTTTTAGCACTACCTAACGTTCAGACCAACAAGAGAAATAAATAAATTGAAAACATATCAAGGGCCTGGAAGAGATGGTAAGGATTCAGTGATGGCTAGGATAGGGACACCTTTGTAGTACTTTGAGAATCTCTTATGGGGCCTGATGCCCAGGGGCCAGCAAATAACTATTTTGGTGTCTTGTTTTAAAGAATGTAGTCCAAGGTCTGTGTTACTTGAGATTAAATGGATTCATCATCCACTCTGAATCAAGTGGAGTTATCTGACTGGTGGGTTTTCTATGTCTTTTATAGCTTTCTTCTATCTCCTTCAATCCCTTTATTTCATTACTGTTTTCTTGACTTAAAAAAAAAAAACTTAATACCTATGCAAAAGGTGTAACAGCAGAAAAACAATCAGTTGATTTGAAAAGACTCAGTGGAGTTGGGGGGAAATTTGAGACCTTTAGTCTCATATAATTTGTATAAATTTTTTTGATAAATGAAACTCAAAACTATAATTTTATAGAGCCTCTTGAAGTAATAGAGTTAATTTAAAAGTTATATTTGTATGATGCTAATAATTTCATGGTGTGTGTACCCAATTCCCCAACATGTATACATTAAACATGTAGTGCTTTTTGTCAGTCATACCTCAGTAACATAGTTTAAAATTAAATATTTGCTAATTTAAAAAAAATCTCTTTCTTATAGGCTTTTAGTGACAGTTTCAAAAAACAAGATCTTCAAATAGTGGTGGAACCATTTTCAAAATGAGGAACTCCTAAATTAGTAAAGGAGAAGTAGAATTTCTGGTTAGAAATAGGAAACCGAACCCAAAGTTAGAATGAACTTATGCATGAATTGACAAGTTTTAATTCCAAGTGACAAAGTTATATAATAAAAGATGTCTTTATTTTTCCCTTTCCGTTTTCTAATGTTCATACGACTGAATTCACTTGGCAGAACTATTTCCGAGACACCTGGAATATCTTTGACTTCATCACTGTGATTGGCAGTATTACAGAAATTATCCTGACAGACAGCAAGGTGAGTGGCTCATAAGATCGTTGTCTTTAAGCTCTGCCCTGGAGTAGCATTCTGAAAAATCCTCTCAACATAGAGTCCATTTCTAACCCAGCAAACCAAGCATGCCCCCTCTCTGTTGGAAGTTCACTTCCTCACTCCTGTGCATGAGCCAGAGAATTCAAACTTTGGAGTGTTGCTGGATCTCATGAAAGGCTTTGTTAATTTGCATGACACAGATAGCAGACATCTAATGGGTAAGTGGCACAGAGGGTGTTACAGGAAAGCTAGAATGCAGTGTTCTCAACACACACAGTGTCTTTGGCCTCAAAGTTGTTTGACCTGAAATGTTTCCCTAAATTTGTTCATTCTAAAGAACTCTTGATAAATTTATTGTAACTCTGAATATTAGAGCTCCATCTTTTAAAAAAATATTTTTATTTTATGTGTATGAGTGTATTGTCTGCATGTATGTAAGTGCACCTGTGTAGTGCAATGCCCAAGGTCAGAAGACGGCATCAAATCCCCTGGAGGTAGAGTTATAGACAGCTGCAGCCACCATGTGGGTGTTGGGAATTGAACCTGGGTCCTCTGCCATCTCTTCAGCCCCACGCAGCTCCATCTTCTGCTACGGATTGCTAGCCCTCAGTCTGCATCTAAATACAGACTTTAGGTTGTTTGGTAGAGACTGAGGAATCCAGTTTTCTCCTGCATGTGCTGGGGTATTCCCAGTACCCACCCACCTATGAACAGAGGGACAGGCCAGAGAGGCTTAAAGAAACAGACTCCCTAGCTGGCCCCTCAACTGGAGTTGGGGTTAACAACAAAAGATAGAGACTGTCTTCTATTTTGTGATCTGAATAAGGAATAAATGTGAAAATACTACTGTCAGATCTTTCTAAATGAGCATATTGTCACTAATTACATGTTTCCTTTTGGTCCACCAGCTGGTGAACACCAGTGGCTTCAATATGAGCTTTCTGAAGCTCTTTCGAGCAGCGCGCCTCATAAAGCTTCTGCGTCAAGGCTACACCATACGCATTTTACTCTGGACCTTTGTACAGTCCTTTAAGGTAAGTGACATAGGAACTCCCTGAGGGGTGAAGTGGCCCTGCCGTATCAAAACACTGCAGACAACGCTGTACCAGCATCCTTATCCTGATTCCTGCACTTCTTGGAAGAAGTTTATAAAATTGCAATTATTAGCAGCATAAATACAGCATATTTAATTATATCACAGGTTGACTGGACAGTGATCAGCTCATGCCTACTGTATGGAATCCTATTGTGAAAAAAAACCCAAGACCACCTTGATTTTAACACAGACTTTCTCTTTGTGCACTGAGATGGGAACATGCTTTTTGAAATTGTTTGCTATCCTTGGGCATTCCAAATTTCTCTGAGCAATCCTACTCATGCAAAAGGGCCTGTTGTCAGATGTCTCCAACATCTTGAGGGACTTGTCAGTGGCTTTATTTCATGGATCAATTTCCGAGGATCCTTTCAATATGTGTTTCATAAAAAGATAATTTATACTCAGACCACCTAAGTCTTCATCAGTGCATTTCCTACTATTGAATGTGTAATATGCTAATGGTCATATCTAAGTCCTGTAAACAGCTAGGAATTCTAGGCAATACATTACTATGTTTCTTTTAAACAGTCTCATGAGTCTATGTGTAATAAATGTTAGTTAAAAGTCAGCACCTGAGACCTTTAGTGGTGGAGAGTTCTAATAAAGGAAGGCTTCCAAACATGCTTAGACATCTTTGAACTCTAAACAGTGCCATAAATTAGTTATCTTTTGAGGTGTTCTGAGTTTCTCAAATGCTTTTTTCTTTCTTGTGAACTAAGTTTTTCAATTAATGTGTTTAAAAATAAATTTGGTGAAATTAAGTGACTCAAAGATGACAAATCATAAATTCACCAAATTGTTTTCTTTATTTCAATTATTTATTGTATTTAAATCAGCAATTAAATGAAAGAGGACAAGACAGTGAAATTATGGTAAGTCATCTTCTGGAAAGCAAGTCTGCTCCACATCCTCATCATTTATTTACTTTCTCTTCAGAGTCTTTGGAGTTTGAGATGTGAGAGCTGTGGTCAGTCTATTCAAGTTACTATGGGCAACCTTGACATTTCTACCCTATCAAGAGTAATTGTTTAGCATGAGCACTGCCATAGAGGCCTCACCTCAATGAACACTAGTTTTCCAACGTTAGATAACAGAAGAGAAATCTAAAACCTTAAGGATTTGCCATCTGAGTCTCAGATGAGTTCAGATTTAGAATTGGAAAGACAAGATGCTTTTAAAGCTGTTTTTCACTTTCAGAGGACTGCCCAACAAGCTTTAGTTGTTAGTCAGTCTCCTAAGAAGTATGTGTCATCCTGTCATGTTATCGCATTCACTAAGTCTCTGTGAAACTATGTCCTATTGAGGTTAAAGAAAGCAGTGTCAAAAACTGATAGGCCAAACTGTTGCTTATTCAGTGAGTATAGAGAACAGGGAAGACAGGCTTATCTGCATCCTGGTGGCACTGTGTTTGGATAGGTGTTTCCTCTTCGGAGTATAGAGGCTGATTTCTTTCTTTTTTCATAGTCTTCAAACTGGGTTATATTTCTTTATTGAATTTTGTGATATGCATAGAATATAAGTTGATGGTATTTAGATCCCCTTCCTATCTGCACCTCCCCTAATGTATAACATATACATATATATATATACACATACATACATACACACACACACACACATATGCGCATGCATGCACATACATAATACACATATACATATATAGGTACACATATATATTCACATACATACACACATGTAGCCAACATACTAGAATATTTTTAATAGTAGAGTGTGT